CGGATAAAAAGTTTATCCTACTCAGTTGTGCGCATACGTTTTTTAATCGCATTTTTAGAATTTATGCGCATCTTGGCGTTTCCATCCAGCGGTTTTTTATGCGATAATCCAAAATGCGCATAAAAATAGGTGGATGGAAACATAGCTTGTCATGTAACAAGGTCTGTGCCTCTCTCCACCCTGGCCTCCTGCTCTGCCCTGGTCACCTTCTCTGCCGGCTCCTTCTTGATCTCTAAGGGGCCATTCACATATCACGTTTTTTGCACGCTCAAGTTCGTTATTTCAAATGAAGACGCGTGGCAGGCGTGCTCATAATGGAAGCGACGCGGTCGCGACGCGCAAATTTTGTTTAGGCGCTTCCGCACCGCATCGAGATGAAAACATTTAAACTTTTCAGAATGCTGCAAGCGCACCGCAGGTCATGTGACAAGAACCAACCAATCAGCTTCATCCTTTCCTGTAACAACATTGAAAGCTCAGTCAAGATGAAGGAACAGCTGATCATAGCTGTACAGGGATAGCCATTTTTAAATAAATTTAGTAGTAGAGCTACTGCAAGCGATTTTTAGTGCTGCAAATCCATTTATCCTTTGCTGAAACTCCCGAGTCTTCATGGAGAGCGGAGGTCATGGTTGCTTAGCAATGGCAGACGCCTCCGGAGCGCAAGTGCCCGAATGCTTTGGAAAAAAAGCAGAAAGCGGCGCGCCTAGCGTTTTCCACGCGTTTTTAGGCGCGACATGTGAACGGCCCCTAACTCTGCCCTGGTCACCAGTTCCTCCAGCTCCATCCTGGCTCCCTGTTCCACCTCTGTCTCCGGACCCTCTTCAACCTCATGGGCCTGGCCTTCCATCCCTTCTCCTGATCCACCTTTGGTCCACCTCCCTCCTGGACTTAAGTGTGTGTTTGTTAAAGGGGGCTCTGTTACATTCATGTCTTGTGTTCCCCTGTCTTTTATATAAGGACTTTTAAGTTGTAGTGTTTTTGGTTCCAATTTTTTCTGTTCCCTTCCTCTGTTTAATTCCTGTTTGCCTTGTTCCTTGTGCTGTCTTGTTTGTCTCCATAGCCACACTTGTTAGTAACCATAGCAACTAATCACCTCTGCCTGTCCCTTGTTAGCCTTGGTTTTCTTGTGTATATAAACAGGGATGCACATAAGTAGTGCACAAGTGCGCATACACGACTGAAATAAGAACTACGCTGGTTAAATATGTTCAGACCACTCATTTATGTACCAACATTGTTGACAACCCCTTACGAAAATTAACCATGGTTTTATTGTAGTAAAAGTGTAGTAACCATGGATTTTTGGTGTATTGATTACAATTTGTATAACCACAGTTTTACTACAAATATGAGCACTAGGAAGAATACTTCATGATATACCAAGACCATACAAGAAGCAGGTTTGACTTTTGTCTTGTTTCAACAATAATACTGTTGCAAAGAACAAGGAAGTTTGCTTAGATTCACTGTTACCTAATACCATATGATAAAAATGTTTTTGACTGGTTTGTTAATTGTAATTCTGAAATCATATTTTATCGTAAATCTTTAACCAACGCAAAGCTCTTCTCTTAAGATATGATGTTCTTGTTGCTATTATGTCTTGTTTTTTGTCTTTAGCAAGAATATAAATACTCTCAGCTAATCATCCTTTACTCAAACTTTGTTACAGTAGCTGAAAAGGTTCCAAATTCCCATAAAGGTTCTAAATGATTAATAGTAAATGTTTATAAATATTTACAGATGATAATTAGTATCAACTTTAGATTTAGCACAGCAAAAACATGAACAAATAATAAATAAATGATTAGTAAAGATGTGTAAGTACTAGAAGTCTCCATACAATATATATATATATATATATATAAAACACGTCACCTATATATTTAGTTTTTCGTGAGGGGTGGGTTAGTGTAAGGGTATAGAAAATAAAGTATGTACAGAATAAAAACCATTACGCCTATGGAGGTGTGTGTGTGTGTGTGTGATTGAGTTCGAAAGTAAAAGGTTGGTTTAAGCACTTAATGACATTTTCCCATTTTCTGTGACATAATCTAAAGTTAGAACTATTAATACAATGAATAAGTTGTTTTAAAAGCAGAAAACACATGATCTGATAAAAGTATAAAGAAGCCAGGGTGTTTTAATCTAATAAACAGTGCTACAGTGACCTGTTAAAGTGGGACAAATTTCATGATTTCAGATCAACTTTTGATTTGATTCTGATCTTGTTTCAATATTCAATTCATTTGGATAAATTTCAGGTACAGTAGCTTGATGTTCATTTTTCTCAAGGAAAAAAAATCTCTCAACTAATGCTGTAAACAATCAGGGAGCTCTGTCAGCTGGCTATTAAATGTTAAAATTAACAACTCAAATGAATATAATACTGTTTTTATAACAATAATATAATATTTTAATGATATAAGAGTAAAAAATATAATAAATATGTAATATACTCCTCTCATAGATAATTTTTCTTGCTAACTAAAATGCTATGGTCATTAAATTTATGGCTTTCTTGAAGTAAATGGACATATTTGTTACAAGCTGTTGATGTCATGATTCACAAGCATGTTGGCTTTTTTAATTTGGTGTGAGATTTACTTGGGCAGTGCAGCGTGAGACAGAGCCTGAAAGTGTGCGTCTTATGCCAGATTCGTGAGAGTTGGCAACGCTGCATCAGCTTGATTCTTCTCATGAGAGAGTCGTGAAATTCACTTCTCTGCTGAAGATTAAGAGATTGTTATGAAAGATATTATGAATTCAAAGGCATTTTCAAGGCAGGAAAAAACTGCTGTTGCAGAAAAAAGTTAAGAAGACAGCTAAAAAAGAATATCTATATTAATGCAAGTGAAACTGAAGTTATTTAATGAATAATTTAAATAGGTTCACAAAGAGCATAAAAGAAAAATGTTTAGCCATTTTAAAAGCTTTATACTGTATAATCGAAAAGCCTGTATTCATATCTATAAATTTATGTTAATTTAAATTAAAAGCTTAATATTAATGGTCAGAATAGAATTGATATGTGTAATGCATTAGGGATATAATATATACTAAATTATTAGCAGTGACCATATTTTGTCAGATACATGTTTGCTCACAGTTTGGTTTGCAATCCCTTACCTAGAATAAAACCTGCTCTGGAGGGGGTTAGCATGTAACATAAAAATTTACCATGGCGATGAACACAGCTAAAAAAAAACATATTGAAACCAACTAGAGTTTGCTCAATCTAAACTCAAACCTAGCTGGGTAACTGACTTTGTTTAATAGGCCAGAGCTTATTTCATCTTAATTTGAATGAAATGCCCATAGAATATTATGCAATTAATTTCTGGGGTGCAAAAAGAACCTAGAAATGCCGTCGTTCAGTATTTATTTTGTAAATAGTAATCTCATATATTGTTCTACGCACTACTCTGTTACCAATACACCATTATGTTTTCTCTGCTGCAAAGAAGCTAGAGAAAACAGTATCTATGCCCCCATTTCCTCTGAAGGCCCCAACCAACCCGTTGATACGACACTGGGGGAAATACAAAATATAACACACATTGACCTCGATGTGAATGTTGAGAAACCTCATAAAAACCTGCATAGATTCATATTTCAAATGAATTTGTAATACATTATATGACAAGTGTTATTTATACATTAACTATGCCTGATGCCTCGAGTATACCTTGCAGTAAACTCTTGATTGAGTTTGACCATAAATATAACACACACACATACACACACACATCTAATGTCAAGATATTTATATGACAACTTACCAATAATTATGATAATAATTGTAGGCCTAAGCTTTGGCTCACAGCATTCTGAAATGGTGTCTTGTCGAATGCAGGATTCAAACTTTTGGTTTCGATTTCTATCCCTGACTGTGAAGGATCAGATAGCAAGCATTGTTCCTACTGTGATTGGTCGATCCTCAAAGCAGAGGGCTGCGATTGGCCAATGTCAGGTATATGAGTGTGCTACTCACCCTTCTCATTTTTTTTTATTTTTATTAAACATATGAACTCTCCATGCGTACTTATCCACATGTTTACATACTTGGCAGTCAGACACTGGGCATCAGTTTTATTGTGTGGGGAGTTATAAAAAGTCATAATAAGCTGTATTTGGATGGATTAGATTCTGGAATCCCTCATATTACCAGTGAAAACACAATATTACCAGTCAGTAATACATATGGGTCTTACTTGTTAATCCATGAACTACACATTCACTTGAATGTGTCAAAAATGTTTACAGAGATCAAGTTTGCTTGACATTTGATATTTGTCAGACATTCAGCTTTGGAAATCTTTAATAGATCATGAACTATGTAGCATAATGATTATTAACAACAAAATATTTAAATTTTCATTTAAAAAATAACATAAATGTAAAAAAAATATATATATATAATATATATATATATATATATATACTGTGTATA